GACCCTATTGACTAGAAATAAGCATTCAATGGCTTTATTTTCACTATCCTTAACCGAGAAGCTTTGGTGTTTATCATTATTTGTATGGCTCAACTATCTAGATACATTGGTTGTATACCTGCGAGGTCTATGCACGTTGTATGCCTTCATTGTTTATGTGCAGTCATAGTCAAAAGTAATCATTCACTTGGCCGGGTCCTTTCTGTACGGTAAGTCACGTGAGGTGGAGATGGGGAATGGTTAACTTGGGGGCGGGGTGTGGGAGGGTGGTATGTGATGCAGTTTACTCATAGAGGGGGAATGGTTAACTTGGGGGCGGGGTGTGGGAGGGTGGTATGTGATGCAGTTCACTCGAGAATGGTTAACTTGGGGGCGGGGTGTGGGAGGGTGCTATGTGATGCAGTTCACTCATAGAGGGGGAATGGTTAACTTGGGGGCGGGGTGTGGGAGGGTGGTATGTGATGCAGTTTACTCATCAGAGAAGGAGAGGATTGAAGAAAGCTGGGAAATTAATGAAAGACGGAAAGGAAGGATGGATGTAAGTTTTCTCTTGACTATATTATCTGAGGTTCATCTACCTGAAAGAGTAATAGATGAGGACCCTTATTCTATGATTATTATAACGTGTCATCCATTTCCTTATCTAAAAATTTTCCAGGTAGTTGTTCTGGTTTTAAACAACGTTAGATATTTACAATAACGTTGATATGAGGAGAGATACTGAATACAAGGTTGGAAATCACATTTAATTTTAATATTTACCAACACAGGTCATATAGAATCTAGCCTGTCAATCGTGGTCTCCCCGGCCTAAACTTATATTATTTATATAAATTAAGAGTCCAAATGCATTTTGTTTACATTACACAACAGAAATTAATAATTTTAATATATCAAATGCCATCAAACATACTCACCGGGTCAGGTTTCCCAACTTCTCAGACTCCTCCTCCCAGCTGGTTAACCAACTTATCACAGTGACCCCAACATCCTTTGCCATATCAACCACATGACACATTACCTACCTAAAGCTCACTCACATCCCTTCCCAGAATCTCAAGTTAAGACATAGATAACTAAGGGAAAGATAAGTCCATATGACACCTCCCCAGACACCTGCCCTCCTGGTTGGTTTGTTGTTTGGGCTTTAGACCTATTAACTGCCAGGCTCATTGAGGCTGTCAACATCACGTTACATTACTAACCTAGGATAATTCCAAGACAACATACATTCTCACTACGTATGTGGCCCTTGATGTACGCCACCCCTCACTCTCACTCCATCATTACTTCCCCCACCCTCTTGTGACCCGTCGTGCAGAAAGGCCTTGTGCTTGCAGGTATGGTAATAGGAGGAGTGGATTGATTACTTTTGATCGCGACTGTACATGTATGCTGAACCAATTGTAAACTCGTACAGCGATTTTGTGTCTATCTATTTATCTATCAATGTACAAACATCACCTGGAGAGCTTTGGCGATCTTGGTGGTCCAGTCGCGGACTTGGGCTTCTGGGAAGTGCTGACTGGTACCTTTCTGTTGCTGGATGCGGGTGTGTAGGTCTCCGCCGTCACAGTACTCCATCATGAGGTGGATCTCGTTGTCCACCCTCACATAGTCCTGCCACATGAGGAAGCATCAACACGTTGAGGTGATAATTATAGTACATACATATTTGTGATACAATGAACTCGCGTAACATAATTGAGGACGAGGATATATTCCTTATATCATTGTCTAAAAGTTATAGCTCAACCCATCGTCGAAAAAGAGTTGACTGAAACCATCGACGACAAAGAGTTGACTGAAACCATCGTCGACAAGGAGTTGACTGAAACCATCGTCGACAAAGAATGGACTGTAACCATCGTCGACAAAGAGTTGACTGAAACCATCGTCGACAAAGAGCTGACTGAAACCATCGTCGACAAAGAGTTGAGTGAAACCATCGTCGACAAAGAGTTGACTGAAACCATCGTCGACAAAGAGCTGACTGAAACCATCGTCGACAAAGAGCTGACTGAAACCATCGTCGACAAAGAGTTGACTGAAACCATCGTCGACAAAGAGTTGACTGAAACCATCGTCGACAAAGAGTTGACTGAAACCATCGTCGACAGAGTTGAGGTGATACACACAATTAACTCGGGACACAGGTATAACACATAACTGGTCATCTTGGACACAGGTATAACACATAATTGGTCATCAAGGACACAGGTATAACACATAACTGGTCATCTTGGACACAGGTATAACACATAACTGGTCATCTTGGACACAGGTATAACACATAACTTGTCACCACAGACACAGGTATAACACATAATTGGTTATCACGGACACAGGTATAACACATAACTGGTCATCACGGACACGGATATAACACATAACTGGTCATCACGGAGACGGATATAACACATACTTGGTCATCACGGATACAGGTATAACACATAACTGGTCATCACGGATACAGGTGTAACACATGACTGGTCATCACGGACATAGGTATAACACATAATTGGTTCATCACGGACACAGGTATAACACATAACTGGTCATCACGGACACAGGTATAACACATAATTGGTCATCACGGATACAGGTATAACACATAACTGGTCATCACGGATACAGGTGTAACACATGACTGGTCATCACGGACACAGGTATAACACATAATTGGTTCATCACGGACACAGGTATAACACATAACTGGTCATCACAGACACAGGTATAACACATAATTGGTTATCACGGACACAGGTATAACACATAACTGGTCATCACGGACACGTATATAACACATAACTGGTCATCACGGACACAGGTACAACACATAACTGGTCATCACGGACACGGATATAACACATAACTGGTCATCACGGACACGGATATAACACATAACTGGTCATCACGGACACAGGTATAACACATAACTGGTCATCACGGACACGGATATAACACATAACTGGTCATCACGGAGACGGATATAACACATACTGGGTCATCACGGACACAGGTGCAACACATAACTGGTCATCACGGATACAGGTATAACACATAACTGGTCATCACGGACACAGGTATAACACATAACTGGTCATCACGGACACAGGTATAACACATAATTGGTCATCACGGAGACAGGTATAACACATAACTGGTCATCACGGACACAGGTACAACACATAATTGGTCATCACGGATACAGTTATAACATAACTGGTCATCACGGATACAGGTGTAACACATGACTGGTCATCACGGACACAGGTATAACACATAATTGGTTCATCACGGACACAGGTATAACACATAACTGGTCATCACGGACACAGTATAACACATAACTCACATAACTGGTCATCACGGATACAGATGCAACACATAACTGGTCATCACGGACACAGGTATAACACATAACTGGTCATCACGGATACAGGTGTAACACATAACTGGTCATCACGGACACAGGTATAACACATAATTGGTCATCACGGACACATGTATAACACATAACTGGTCATCACGGATACAGGTGTAACACACATGGATCATCACGGACACAGGTATAACACATAATCATCACGGACACAGGGTACATAACTGGTCATCACGGACACAGGTATAACACATAACTGGTCATTACGGACACAGGTATAACACGGTTCATCACGGACACAGGTATAACACATAACATCACGGGTATAACACATAATTGGTTATCACGGTATAACACACTGGGTACAGGTATAACATACATAACTGGTCATCACGGATACACACAGGTATAACACATAACTGGTGGTCATTACACAGGTATAACACATAATTGGTCATCACGGTCAACACGGATACAGGTATAACACATAACTGGTCATCACACAGGTACAACACATAACTGGTCATCACGGACACAGGTATACATTGGTGGTGGTCATCACGGACACAGGTATAACACATAACTGGTCATCACGGACACAGGTATAACACATAACTGGTCATCACGGACACAGGTATAACACATAACTGGTCATCACGGACACAGGTATAACACATAACTGGTCATCACGGACACAGGTACAGTACATAACTGGTCATCACGGACACAGGTATAACACATAACTGGTCATCACATCACATAACTGGGACACAGGTATAACACATAATTGGTCATCACGGATACAGGTATAACACATAACTGGTCATCACGGATACAGGTGTAACACATAACTGGTCATTACGGACACAGGTATAACACATAATTGGTTCATCACGGACACAGGTATAACACATAATTGGTCATCACGGATATAGGTATAACACATAATTGGTTATCACGGACACAGGTATAACACATAACTGGTCATCACGGACACAGGTATAACACATAACTGGTCATTACGGACACAGGTATAACACATAACTGGTCATCACGGACACAGGTATAACACATAACTGGTCATCACGGATACAGGTGCAACACATAACTGGTCATCACTGACACAGGTATAACACATAATTGGTCATCACGGATACAGGTATAACACATAACTGGTCATCACGGATACAGGTGTAACACATAACTGGTCATTACGGACACAGGTATAACACATAACTGGTCATCACGGACACAGGTACATAACTGGTCATCACGGACACAGGTATAACACATAATTGGTCATCACGGATCATAGGTATAACACATAACTGGTCATCACGGACACAGGTATAACACATAACTGGTCATCACGGACACAGGTATAACACATAACTGGTCATCACGGACACAGGTATAACACATAACTGGTCATCACGGACACAGGTATAACACATAACTGGTCATCACGGATACAGGTATAACACATTACTGGTCATCACGGACACAGGTATAACACATAACTGGTCATCACGGACACAGGTATAACACATAACTGGTCATCACGGATACAGGTATAACACATTACTGGTCATCACGGACACAGGTGGAACACAACAGAAAGAAATGCTTTTGCTCGGGTGAGGTTTATAATGTATAACCTTTACTCACAGTTTGTCCTCCCTGACACGGGTAACAGCTTGCAGTCGCCGGTGTGATGTCTCTCTCAGTCGGGGTATTTTTTTTATTTTTGCCCTGGCCACTCGGGGGTCCATGGTCAATAGTAATGTGTGTGTAACGTTTCGGGTCTGTAACTGTTTCCGTTTTGGACATTTGGGTGGAACAGGCACACACTCGCAGACAGACAGACAGACAGACACGTCCTTTTATTATTATAAATAACTGGTCATCACGGATACACGTATATCACATAATAGGTCATTATGGGTCAGTGTGGTTTTGACGTCGAAAGTCAACAGATAACACAGTGCAGTACAGGTAAGATGTTACAAACACACTAATTACCTGCACGAGAATAAACAGCAGGTAAGAGAGAAACGCACAACACTATGTTAACTCTAAGAGAGGTTTCTGGTTCTCCAAGACCCATTCATTAATTTGTTTTTGGATCACTTGGATCTTATATCACGTTAAAATTAACCACTCTAACGCTAACCTAACATAATCTATTCTAACTTAATCTAAATTAATCTAACCGAACTGAACCTAATCTAATCTCACCTTACCTAACTTAATCGAACAAAACCTAACCTAACCTCCCAAATAGCATTAGGGTTTTTAATCATCAGGTGAATAATCTGGGGAGGCAATTTTCACGGAGTTTGGATCACCATCTGTGCGCCACACCAGCTAGATACGGCTGTAAAGCACGAGTATCGTAGGTGTATACTTGGAATATTTGGCTGGTGAATATACAAAACATGACCCAAGTAATGGATAGGCAGGGAATAGAACGCTTTAAGATGCGTTGCTTATTTTTATTTATTTATTTTGCGGGATTAGCCCACCAGGGCACAGGTCATTGACCCACATCGGCACTGGGGGGGCGAAATAATAATAATAATAATGATGATGATGATGATGATGATGATGATGATGATGATAATAATATTAATATTATTATTATTATTATTATTATTATTATTAATAAATAAATAAAAATGAAAACAAAATATGAAATAAAAATATAACAAAAATATATATATATTAAATAAAAATATAATAAAAATAAAAATATATTAATAGAAATAAAAAATAATAATAATAATACAGAATCATATACACACAAAAACAAAAAGATCAACAATGAGTAACAATGTATGTATGTTGTGTTGTCAATAGTAAGAGAAACAATTGAGACCCTGCAATTGTGTGTAAATGAGGCAGAAAGTCAGATCAGCAACCTGGGACTTGGTCACAATTCTTGTGGTGCCATGCGGCAGCAGGGTCTACCATAGGACAACACATTATGCTCCCAATGTCTTCCCAGGCGGTAGTACCTCCCTGTTTGATAGCTGTCGCGTGGTTCTTGTACGGGGTTAGATCAGCGTGACACAATGACAGTGAGTCAAAATTTTCCTGTAGGCTCTCACCTCATAAGCGACGATACTCTCATGCTTCAGGTTTCTCAAAAGCGCCACTTCCTGGAACTGGTAGACATGACCCCCCGACGATACTTTCGACAGATCGATCTGTTGAGACGTGGACATACCTGAGAGTGTTAATGGTAAATTTTGACAGTAGATTCAGACAACCACAAAATAAAGGAAGTCTCTCTACCCTAGGTTAAGGTTACATACGTGTGGCATGTAAAATGTGAACCATCTCTTACAGAAACGTCAGGACTATATGGTGGTTTTGTTTACATGGAACTGAAGGAAGTGTTTTAGAGAGAGAGAGACTCACCGTCTTCAACACGTAGCTCTTATTGTTCTTCTCCACCAGGTACACGACACCAAACGTCCCTGAACCCAACTTTCTGACCTTCTTGATCCCCTCCATCTCCACCTGCTGGACACACCTGTTGCTACACACCTGTAAACACGTCCACAACACACCTGTTACTAAGCACCTATCACAATCATGCAGCCCAAATTTCGGAACATATAATATCTAATCTAAAAAACCTTTACCGTAAGGCATTTTGATTTAAATAAAATAATAAAATATTAAGCCAATCATTAATGTCTAATAAACACTGTAACTGGCTCAATAATAATGCTAGGTAAGTAAGCTAAGTACAGTAAATAAGCTAATGTATATAAATAATAACGCACGCTCTGGAACACCTGACAGTTTCCATCGACAAAATAATACGAATTTGATGTACGAGTACATATCGTTCAGGTACAGTCACCCAAAAAAGTCCTGTCGCGAACCACGATTCAGACTCTTGAACCCGAAGCAGGAGACACTGATACATTATTCTGTCCATAAATGCTTCGGATTCAAGAGTCTGAATCTCGGGGTTCATGGTTCGCGACAGGACTTTTTTGGGTGACTGTACATATCATATAGTTTCTATAATTTTCGAAACACATGTCTCAAATATATGATTTGATGTTATAGTAATTATTCTATTTCCAGACACCATAAATTAGCTATAGGTATTTTCTGATACGATTTACGTAACTCAGGTAACTCGTAACGATTCCGCGCTGACTGTAAATATTACAATGTGTGTACGTGTGTTCATTATGCAGAGCTTACTTCACCTCTTTACGATTTGATGATTTTCCATTTCATATATAACTCGCGGCAACACATCACTCGACAAGTAAAAGTGCTTCCGTTTTAGGTCCGGAAAAAAAAAATAATGAATGGCAAGCATCACACCAGTTAACATTTTTAAATCACAATATAATTTATAAAGCGCTTCCATTTTCTTTTTGGTACCACATGAAAGCTGAAAATAATGTATGACACGGACCACACATTCCAGGAAATATTTTCAAACATGTCTGGAACGTCAATGGCTGGGGGTGTTCCTGCATTCCTGTGATAAGTTTCTCGGGACCAATTTCCCTCTCCAAAGCGAACCGCATCACGAATCAACATCTTAGTTTTCAGTTCTACCAAGGCGGAAAACCCTTGTTCAGAAAGATACGTAGTTGCCATCATCACTAGTACTTGAAGGGCCTTCATGACAATGGATTCGTATTCAGGAAATTCGAGAAACTCAACCCTCTAGTCTCCATAGTGGGAGTACGCTTCAAAAGATGCTTTTTGGGTGAAGATATTGTGAAACTCCATTAACATCTGTGTGATCTGAACTGACCAACATCCGCCCGCTTTATGTATCTAAAGATGAAAGGGTTGACAATCCACACCTGATTCCCCAGGGTCTGTGCATTCCTCGGAGGAAAATATGCCTCAAAATTGGCAGAGAACTAGTGGTGTGCAGATAGTCGGAAATAACGTCCTTCAGTAATTCCTCCAGATCAGATTAGTTTTGTTCCCACACACTATCTTTGGGGAAGTTTTCCAAATGAGAGTAATTGGAGAAGAGTGGTATTTTTGGATGTTAACATGCCACATGGAGATCTTCATTTTCATAGTGTTACATTAACTCTTCCCTGTGTTGGGATCTCGACTACTATAACCATGTAACGTTTTCAAACACTGGTTAATATTAGTTATCAGTGAAGCAAAACCAAGTAAAATGGTAATATAAACTATTTAAAATGAATACACGAAACATTAATGACAAAATAGCTAAATAAGAAGTTTGCTCAGTTCGAGAATTTAGCCATGAAGAAAACAACACTGTTAAACCTACAATGAAATCAGTTACAATATACAGTTCTTAACCTTGCTGGAGCAGGGGCACATATAGCATAAGTGAAGACAGTTCACACAATACAAATAAGTTAAAATAACAATGTACTCATCACTATGGAGGTGGAGGTGAGACAAACAGCCGGCAACCATACTGTCCACAATCTGACTCAATCCCAATACCAAACCTCAAATGAATGAGTCGAAGCATTAAGACAGTCCAGGGTGGCAACTTTTGGCGGTCCTTACCTAGGGTTGCCATATCTGAACAGTAAAAAAAGAGGACGTTCCTGAAGACATCATGCCCCCCCCCCCTATTGGCACACACTTTGGCGCTATGTAACCTTGATGCAGCCGTGACCATTTTATGCTCTGGAAAAGTACAACAAATCGTAAGCACTAGCTGTGGCACCAAGCGACCAACTCACAACAAAGACTAAGATCAAACACTGTCACTGCAGGTTAAAGACTGGCCAACCACCGGTCACCGTCATAGTTGTCGACACACGTAAATAATATAGCGAAAGTGGCTAGATTATGATTGAAAATTGCTAAAATGCCTTAAATTCAGGACAAGAAAAACAAATGCTACAGTGTAAAAAAAGTCATAAGAAAAAATGGTATACTTTCATCATTTCATTTATGGCTGTAATAGCACTAAATACAAAAAAAATATAATGCGCGTGGCTGAAGAACAAAGAAAAGCAGTACATGGCACTACAGGTTACCCCAAAAACTGCTAGCAGCTAAGTTGACAACACCGTACAGGCGTACACGTGACTTATCAGCTGACGAAAACTGAACAAGATCTCTACTGTTTCCACCTCCCCTCTCTCACAGTCTCTCTCTCTCTCGTCATTACAGTTTCAGGTTTCTTTCCGTGGAGAAAATGATGGAAGCTGAAATTCCGGACTTTAAAAGAATTTAAAAAATTCCTCCCGGATGAAGATTTCGAGACCTAAATGGAGGACATGTCCGGGAAAATACGGACGTATGGCAACTCTACCGTACCACCTTTTTACTTAGCCAATAGATGGCGACTGTCTTAACAATAGATTCTGTTTTCCCAAGAAAGTAAAAAACGTCATCTAATTTCCATGAAGCGACAAGTTGAGCCGGTTCAAACAATCGAAAATCGACGCCATGTATGACAATTAAGGAGGCGTCACATTAGCATATCTATTGTTAATTTTTTCATTATTGTCAACATTTTCATGAATCATCGGCGTTGTCGTTGGCTGTTTGTCAAACGGCACAGACCGTCTGCACTGACAACTCGTACGACAACTTCGACAACTTACCGGAGTCAATTCAAGATCTATGATTGATAATACAAATATTTATAAAAATAAACTAATTTCTACTTAATATCTAAATCTAAAATTATTATGAAGTAATTATTACTGTAATCCTCTTCCCAACATTATCCATTATTGTGTTTAATTTCGTGATTTTAAAAAGGTAATAAAATGTCATTTAATGTTTACATTTTGACCACACAGAAATAACAACAACATGACGGAGCCAACAGATAAAATAATTTCCCAAATATGGACACGCCCCTCCAAGGAGTTCTTGGTGGACCAGATAAGGCAACACCGCTGTCTCTGGGATCACCAGGACTCTTCATACACCAAAAAAAGGTGTAGAATTGCTGAGCTTTCTTCGTCAGTTGGATCCATCTTGTTTGTTGACAGTTGTCAAATGAGGGAAACTGGCGAGTTGGTTCTAATCGCATGTGTGACGGTGCACAATAAAACAAGTTGACGATTTTCTGAGTTGACAAGAAAAAATAAAATACGAAAGAATGCCAGTGTGACACCGCCTTTACAGAAGAAAAGCCAGAAATCGTCGTTGAAATGCATTGCTTTCTCAACACTTTCTTCGGTAAAAAAACACACAGTTCACCAAGTCTGTTCCTGTTCATTTCATGTCTCAACTACAAGTCCTGGGGTCCACTTCAAATTGTCATACGTTTAGTTGTTTTAGCAATAACAAAGTATTACTGGGTACTATACTGTACAAATGATAGTCACATATGACCTTCCGCACAATGATAATATAGCTACCAAGAATTATCAGTTCTTACATAATAATAGTAATAATGATAATAATAATAATTTAACAATTCATATCACTGACAGTAAACCACCAACTCTACACTTGCACAGTTGCCAGTTTCAAACCTGTGGAAAGATCATCAAAATTCCATATAGTTTAACTCTTTCACCTTTATTACTTCATTCACCCTTCAATAACCCTTCAAATTCCATTCATACCCTCAAAAAATTCATTCACCCTTGGGAGAACCACTCACTGGCCTGGGGATGGTCGTGCATTATTCAGTAAAATAATAATAGTTCTTACATTATGAACTGTATCACGTAGAGCAATAAAGTTAATTAGTAACTTTGAGGCAACTAATAAATCGTATTAATTAACCTATAAACACCGGGCAAATTTGGCTCTTCAAAAACCCTTTGAAATCTTAGATAAGATGAGACAATTATGACATTAGATAAGCACAGCTTTAAACTGCAAGTAAATGCAGACCAGGGCCGGATTCAGGAGTGGGCAAAGTGGGCAGCTGCCCAGGGGCCTCCGCAATCTGGGGACCTCCACATATTATAATATGTTCTAATTTCCTCACTATAACTGCATATGGCTTCAAAATTCTCCAAAGAAGTGTTCAAATTTCAAAAATTTCCCGGGGGGCTTACAGCGCCCCTCGGAACTCCCAGATGTTTAGGCTCGCTTCACTCGCCAACCCACCCTCTTGGGTAGCTGTAATGAGGGGGGGCCTCCACAAAGAGGCTTCCCATGGGCCTCCACAGGTCTAAATCCGGCACTGATGCAGACATACATGTAAATACTGCCACATATGAAATACTTATAAGTACTGACAGTACTGTCTGTACTGTAGTAATTCACAGTCAGTTCCAATAATGACCATACACAGATACCTATACATCACCGCGAAGAATTCACTCTTCAGAAACGCTCTGTTTTAAAACCCCAGCCAAGTTTCACATGATGCAGTTAGCATATAGAAATGATGATGATATATGATTGTACTTAATGAAGGTAAATAAAGATACTGCCAGAGGTTAAGTACTCACAAGAGAGCAGCAGAAGAGAGGCAGGCAGCTCACATCCACCCAACAACACACACAAAATGGCTTCTCCCGAGTTATTTGCTGCTCACTTGGATATCTAATCACTGATAAAAAATTTATCATTTTAAGAGGACAAACTTTCAATGCTTGGGTATTGCCACTTTATTGTTATTTATATAACCTTCTTGGTTATATTTCTTTAATTAATTTTTTCTAAGTTTTCCTTTTCTTTAACTTCTAATTCATTTTTTCAAATTATGTCCAATATTTCTTTCAGGGTCTCTTACTTATTTGTTTATTTTCTATTAATTATTTATATTCTTAGAGTAACTTAATTATATTATATTCTGTGGGTTAACCTGGAAGAACCACATTCTTCTCTATTCTTACACACCCGTGTAATTATTGTACTTAACATCTTTGAGCTGCCTCCACACAGGCTTTTTTAACTGCCCACACACTAACAAATATGTTTGTTAGACATGATGTTTGATTATGCATAATACATCGCCACTCACTTCACAACTAGAATGATCAAACTTCAGTTGGTGTCTGGTACGCTCCGCCTCAACAGTGGATGACAGCATGAGTAAGGAGGCAGCCTGTGTTGCTATTAAACTTGCTCTTGAGACAGAGACTTTAAAGAAAAGACGAAAAAGAAAATTATGGAAGAAGGAATGGCACAGAAAAAGACCCAAGTTCTCTCACGACGCCATTTTAAAAGAACTAGTGGTATCATCACCTCAAGATTATAAAAAACTTTGTGATATTTTGAGGTTTTTTATATTTCATGGTGATTATTGAAATGTATATACTTACAGTATATGTATACATTTATATGTGTATACACTATGATGAATATATTTATGTGTGTGTCTTAGATTAACTGAGAAAGTAACTGGGTCAGTGAAACAATATATACTTTCATCATTATAATTCAAAACAATAACAACATTACTCAAACACATTATAGATAGTTCAAAATAGTATGACACTATAACAAGTTCAATAACACTCAAGATGATGAACAGTGAACGTTAATGATATTTACTTATGATTGCACTACTAGCCATATAGATACTGTTGTTATTGTTCACTTTGTATATGAATTTATCCCGTTAAACAAATTGTTCAGAGTTCTATTTATGTTATACTGTTCTTCCTCATATTATAAGTCACTGTACACGAGATGAATCCTTAATAATATCAATCATTCAATCAATTAGCAACTTTAGTGTCAGGACTTCAGGCGGTGGCAAACTGAGCAGTCCATTCTCGGGCCGTGCTCTCATACTTCTCCCTGTCGTTCACATACAGCTCAGCTATGTCCTTCCTCCATGGGTCGTCTGGATTAGGGTCAGTCAGCAGAGCACAAATGATGAGCAGCACTGAAGTGAAGGTGTTAGTAAGGTCAGGGGTGTTTGTTAGTATGGTCAAGGGTGTTTGTTAGTATGGTCAGGGTTGTTTGTTAGTATGGTCAGGGGTGTTTGTTAGCAAGGTCAGGGGTGTTTGTTAGTAAGGTCAGGGGTGTTTGTTAGTAAGGTCAGCGGTGTTTGTTAGTAAGGTCAGGGGTGTTTGTTTAGTATGGTCAGGGTTGTTTGTCGTAAGGTCAGTGTTTGTTAGTAAGGTCAGTGTTTGGTAGTATGGTCAAGGGTGTTTGTTAGTAAGGTCAGGACATTTGTTAGTAAGGGTGTTTGTTAGTAAGGTCAGTTAAGGTCAGGGGTGTTTGATAGTAAGGTCAGGGGTGTTTGTTAGTAAGGTCAGGGTGTTTGTTAGTAAGGTCAGGGGTGTTTGTTAGTAGGTCAGGGTGTTTGTTAGTAAGGTCAGGGTGTTTGTTAGTAGGTCAGGGACATTTGGTAATGTCAGGGTGTTTGTTAGTAAGGTCAGTAAGGGTGTTTGTTAGTAAGGTCAGGGTTGTTTGTTAGTAAGGTCAGGGGTGTTTGTGAGTAAGGTCAGGGGTGTTTGTGAGTAAGGTCAGGGGTGTTTGTGAGTAAGGTCAGGGGTGTTTGTTAGTAAGGTCAGGGGTGTTTGTTAGTAAGGTCAGGGGTGTTTGTTAGTAAGGTCAGGGTTGTTTGTTAGTAAGGTCAGGGGTGTTTGTGAGTAAGGTCAGGGGTGTTAGCAAAATAAAGGGGTGTGGGTGTATGTGTGTACTTTCAAACCACAATTGTCTTTATCATATATAGTTAATTATCTCATCATAAGAATATTGAAGGATAGAAACAAATAAATTTATTTTTCAAACAGTTTGCTTTTCTTGCCTAACTTCTCCCGGGGGAAAGAGAACAATGTCTTTTTCATTCAGGTTTGTACTGTACCTTACCTAAACTACGAGAGAGAGAAAGATTGTTTCTCACCTTTAGATATACTGAGTGTGGGGGACCAGTTCTGTGATAATATGTCGAGACAGATGCTTCCTCTGTCGCTGATGTTGGGGTGGAAGATCTTGGTCGTGAACCACACCTGTCCACCACACAGGTTGTTAATGATTATTGGTGATGGTTGTTGGTAAATAAGGGATGTGGCGACTTAGTGGATACAACGTTCGTCTCCTGTCATAAGAAATGCTTGTTCGATCCCGGGACACTCCCAGTCCCGGACGGATTAAGTTTACTCGTATAGTTAGCAAACTGAAGGCGCTCGAGTGCCGGCCACATTGACGGTTTGTGCAGTGTATACTTGTATACCGTGTGCTGTGTCCATATTGGACCACCAGACTTTTTAAACCGCGTTCACTTTCAATAGGTAGATGAAACAGTACGTGTTCCATTTACACCTGCAAAACACACCCACCTGATAATTTCAGGTGCCTCGTGGTATTAGGCAGATAAGGGAATAGTTATGATGAAAGGTTGTGAATACTGGTCCCGTAAGCTTGACAGTTAGGATACAACACACTCTAGATTCAAGGTGTCTTTTTTTATTCACAAGATGCCAGTGTTGGCGCCACTACACTCAACTATCTTCACTTTCCCCATCAGAAATGTTAGGTTCCCATTCACAGATGATTGAAATGGGGTGTCCTGGGCACGAACCAGCATACCCTAAGTTCAATAAGAGCTGAAAACTGCATCCACTTAGCCACCTCACTCATGATGAAATTTTTATGTAACGATAAACTTTATTAAAGAAAAAATAGGAAACATACAAGACAAAAAATAAGAAACATTCATTGAATGACACGGAAAAAGTGTGTTACACAACTGTCTCTTTACCACCACCACATGCACAGTACCTTGGGAGGCCTGAAGGGGTAGTCATCAGGAAAATCGATCCTTAGATCAAAGAGTCCTCCCTCGAAGGGCGTGCCCGTGGGCCCAATGATGGTGGCTTGGCAATGGAAGGGGTCATTGGCTATGGGACCCACTGAACACTGTCCTGGGGGGTCTCTCTCAAGTTCCCTCATCTCCTGAAGAAGGGAGACATAGGTCAGTACCTCCTACAGGATAATGTGACTCATAGTCTAAGGGCCCGCTCACACTGAGGCCGGGACGGACATATTCTGACGTAAATTGTCTGAACGAGTGAGTCAAGTTAATGATACATATCTCACACATTATTCGAATTACATCGAATTCGAATCTTTCACATTTTATCGTAGAGGAAGACAGTTCCCTCTCCCTAGGAAGACAGTGAGTCGTGTAACAGGTATGAAATAAGCGGAGAAAATCATAACACTCCGGACAATTTGCGTAAGAATTTGTCCGCTTCCAGCCTCAGTGTAAGTGGGCCCCTAATACTTTGTAACAGAAAAAAAAAAACAGACTGGCCACAGTTCTACTATTTCAGAGAGTCTTAGTGTACTGACATGAGAGTCCAAGGGATAAGAAATTGTACCTCAGGAATTGATTTAGACCGAGACTAATCATAAGGACAAATCTCTACACGTTGTCTCTCGCGATGGACGAGAATTAAATGATACTAGAGAAACCTAACCTAACCTAACCTAACCTAACCTTGAGAAAGGGACAACGTGGTGAGCGTAATTTCTCGGCCAGAATGAGACACCATAACAAGAATTTTGTTCGTACTATTAACGACGCTGATTAATTTACCGAACTGAAGGGGTTAATAATTATTAATAAGATGTCAAGCATTGTACTCAATTGGCTAATTCACTGTGCACAGGAAGCTGCCAACGAACTCAAGGGCTTTATATGACTTACAGTATGGATAATGCTTGTATCACCAACCAAGGCCATCTAGAGGACTCTGGGATTGATTTAAAGATGTCAAGTAAGATATTATGACCAATACAATAGAAATAGTGCTAACATGTTACCCTGAGGCACACTCGTAATATTATTATTGTCGTTATTATTATCGTTAATATTATCATTTTTATTATTATTATTGTCGTTATTATTATCGTTAATATTATTATTATTATTATTATTATTATTGTTATTATTATCGTTAATATTATTATTATTATTATTATTATTATTATTATTATTATTATTATTATTGTTATTATTATCGTTAATATTATCATTTTTATTATTATTATTATTATTGTTATTATTATCGTTAATATTATTATTATTATCATTATTATTATCGTTAATATTATTATTTTTATTATTATTATTGTCGTTATTATTATCGTTAATATTATTATTATTATTATTATTATTATTATTGTTATTATTATCGTTAATATTATTATTATTATTATTATTATTATTATTATTATTATTATTATTGTCGTTAATATTATCATTTTTATTATTATTATTATTATTGTTATTATTATCGTTAATATTATTATTATTATCATTATTATTATCGTTAATATTATTATTATTAGTATTATCGTTAATATTATTATTATTATTATTATCGTTAATATTATTATTATTATCATTATCGTTAATATTATTATTATTATTATTATTGTTATTATCGTTATTACTATTATAATATTATTATCATTATTAATTATTATCGTTATTATTATTATTATTATTATTATTATTATATTATTTTCGTTATTATTTTTATTATTATATTATTATCGTTATTATTATTATCGTTATTATTATTATATTATTATCGTTATTATTATTATTATTATTATTATTATTATATTGTTATCGTTATTATTATTATTATATTATTATCGTTATTATTATTATCATTATTATTATTATTATATTATCGTTATTATTATTATTATATTATTATCGTTATTATTATTATTATATTATTATCGTTATTATTATTATTATATTATTATCGTTATCATCATCATCATCATCATCATCATCATCATCATCATCATCATCATCATCATCATCATCATCATCATCATCATCATCATCATCATCATCATCATCATCATCATCATCATCATCATCATCATTATTATTATTATTATTATTATTATTATTATTATTATTATTATTATTATTATTATTATTATTATTATTAATATTAATATTATTATTATTGGGAATTTTATTACAAATGTGAATCTTGATAATATAATTCTTCCTTCGACATAAAGTGAGTGTACAAACATACCTTATTAATTCTCTTCAGTGCCATGGTAACGACGTTGAGGTGACGAAGGCGAGGAAGAGTCTGCAAGAGAAGAAACATGAGAATAAAGGAAGAGAGAAGAAAAACAGCTGGAAATATTCATAATCATCACTATTTTCTCCAACCAAATGAAAAATTATTATGTATGATTTTGATTAAACAGTTATATCTAAAATTCTGTGGCATCTACAAAACATAATATATGTTCAATTTTACGCAACACTACTAGACGGGTGATTAGATAGATAGGTTCAGTAGAGAGATAGGTAGATATTAAAAGCTGCATACGAGTAGATATATAAGTAATGTACATAGACAGTACAGGTATACAATGTACATAGACAGTACAGGTATACAATGTACATAGACAGTACAGGTCTACAATGTACATAGACAGTACAGGTCTACAAACAAAGTACAGTGCATTTTTGGCATGAATGTATACAAACAGTGTACTGTACATTGTGGCGTGCAGGTATACAAACACTGTACATTGTGGCGTGCAGGTATACAAACAGTGTACATTGTGGCGTGCAGGTATACAAACAGTGTATATTGTGGCGTGCAGGTATACAAACAGTGTACATTATGGCGTGCAGGTATACAAACAGTGTACATTGTGGCGTGCAGGTATACAAACAGTGTATATTGTGGCGTGCAGGTATACAAACAGTGTATATTGTGGCGTGCAGGTATACAAACAGTGTACATTGTGGCGTGCAGGTATACAAACACTGTACATTGTGGCGTGCAGGTATACAAACAGTGTATATTGTGGCGTGCAGGTATACAAACAGTGTATATTGTGGCGTGTACAACACTTGCATTGGCGTGCGGTTACAAACGTATATTGGCGTGCGGTATACAAACAGTGTATATTGTGGCGTGCAGGTATACAAACACTGTACATTGTGGCGTGCAGGTATACAAACACTGCATTGTGTGCAGGTATACAAAGTGTATATTGCGGTATATACAAACAGTGTATATGTGGCGTGCAGGTATACAACAGTGTATCTTGTGGCGTGCAGGTATACAACACTGTACATTGTGGCGTGGGTATACAAACACTGTTGTGGTGTGCAGGTATACAAATATATTGGCGTGCAGGTATACAAACAGTATATATTGGCGTGCAGGTATACAAACAGTGTACATTGTGGCGTGCAGGTATACCATTGTCAGGCGTGCAGGTATACAAACAGTGTACATTGTGGCGTGCAGGTATACAAACACTGTACATTGTGGCGTGCAGGTATACAAACAGTGTACATTGTGGCGTGCAGGTATACAAACAGTGTACATTGGCGGCGGGTTATACAAACAGTGTACATTGTGGCGTGCAGGTATACAAACAGTGTACATTGTGGCGTGCAGGTACAAACAGTGTACATTGTGGCGTGCAGGTATACAAACAGTGTACGTGCAGTGCAAACAGTGTACATTGTGGCGTGCAGGTATACAAACATGTGTACATTGTATGGTATACAAACATGTACATTGTGGCGTGCAGGTATACAAACAGTGTATATTGGCGTGCAGGTATACAAACACTGTGGGGTAAAATACATTGTGGCGTGCAGGTATACAAACGGTGTGTATTGTGGCGTGCAAACACTATATATTGTGTGCAGGTATACAAACAGTGTATATTGTGGCGTGCAGGTATACAAACAGTGACATTGGCGTGCAGGTATACAAACAGTGTACATTGTGGCGTGCAGGTACAAACACTACATTGGCGTGCAGGTATACAAACAGTGTATATTGTGGTGCGGAGCAGTGTATATTGTGGCGTGCAGGTATACAAACAGTGTACATTGTGGCAAAACACTGTTGTGGCGTGTATAAAACAGTGTATATTGGTGCAGGTATACAAACAGTATAGCGTGCAGGTATACAAACATGTACATTGTGGCGTGCGGTAACAAACTGTACATTGTGGCGTGCAGTATACAACAATTGTATATTGTGGCGTGCAGGTATACAAACAGTGTATATTGTGGCGTGCAGGTATACACACTAACATTGTTGCGGGTATACAAACAGTGTACATTGTGGCGTGCAGGTATACAAACAGTGTATATTGGCGTGCAGGTATACAAACAGGTATATTGTGGCGTCGGGTATACAAACAGTGTATATTGTGGCGTGCAGGTATACAAACAGTGTACATTGTGGCGTGCAGGTAACGTAAAACAGTACATTGTGGGAACTTATTGGGGGGTATACAAACAGTTATTGTGGCGTGGGTAAACAGTGTATATTGTGGCGTGGGTATACAAAACTGTACATTGTGGCGTGCAGGTATACAATGTATATTCGGGTATACAATGGTATGGCGTGCAGGTATACAAACAGTGTATATTGGCGGAGGTATACAAACAGTGTATATTGTGGCGTGCAGGTATACAAACAGTGTACATTGTGGCGTGCAGGTATACAAACAGTGTATATTGTGGCGTGCAGGTATACAAACAGTGTATATTGTATGTGCAGGTATACAAACAGTGTATATTGTGGCGTGGAGGTATACAAACAGTGTATATTGTATGTGCAGGTATACAAACAGTGTACATTGTGGCGTGCAGGTATACAAACACTGTACATTGTGGCGTGCAGGTATACAAACACTGTACATTGTGGCGTGCAGGTATACAAACAGTGTACATTGTGGTGTGCGTATACAAACAGTGTATATTGTGGCGTGCAGGTATACAAACAGTGTACATTGTGCAGGTATACAAACAGTGTACATTGTGGCGTGCAGGTATACAAACAGTGTACACAGGTATACAAACAGTGTACATTGTGGCGTGCAGGTATACAAACAGTGTATATGGCGTGCAGGTATACAAACACTGTACATTGTGGCGTGCAGGTATACAAACACTGTACATTGTGGCGTGCAGGTATACAAACAGTGTATATGTGCAGGTATACAAACACTGTACATTGTGGCGCAGGTATACAAACAGTGTATATTGGGCGTGCAGGTATACACATAGTGTACATTGTGGCGTGCAGGTATACAAACAGTGTACATTGTGGCGTGCAGGTATACAAACACTGTACATTGTGGCGTGCAGGTATACAAACAGTGTATATTGTGGCGTGCAGGTATACAAACAGTGTATATTGTGGCGTGCAGGTATACAAACAGTGTAAATGTGGCGCAGACAAACTGTACATTGTAGTGCAGGTATACAAACACTGTACATTGTGGCGTGCAGGTATACAAACAGTGTATTATTGGTGGTGCAGGTATACAAACACTGTACATAGCGTAGGTATACAAACACTGTACATTGTGGCTGCAGGTATACAAACAGTGTATAGTGTGGCGTGCAGGTATACAAACAGTGTATATTGGGCGTGCAGGTATACAAACAGTGTACATTGTGGCGTGCGTATACAAACAGTGTATTGTGGCGTGCAGGTATACAAACAGTGTATATTGTGGTGCAGGTATACAAACAGTGTACATTGTGGCATGCAGGTATACAAACAGTGTATATTGGGCGTGCAGGTATACAAACACTGTACATTGTGGCGTGCAGGTATACAAACAGTGTATATTGTGGCGTGCAGGTATACAAACACTGTATATTGTGGCGTGCAGGCAAACACTGTACATTGTGGCGTGCAGGTATACAAACACTGTACATAGGCGTGCAGTATACAAACAGTGTATATTGTGGCGTGCAGGTATACAAACAGTGTACATTGTGGCGTGCAGGTATACAAACACTGTACATTGTGGCGTGCAGGTACAAACAGTGTATATTGTGGCGTGCAGGTATACAAACACTGTACATTGTGGCGTGCAGGTATACAAACACTGTACATTGTGGCGTGCAGGTATACAAACAGTGTATATTGTGGCGTGCAGGTATACAAACAGTGTACAGGCGTGTATACAAACAGTGTACATTGTGGTGCAGGTATACAAACAGTGTACATTGCGGCGTGCCAAACGGTGTATATTGTGGCGTGCAGGTATACAAACAGTGTATATTGTGGCGTGCAGGTATACAAAACACTGTACATTGTGGCGTGCAGGTATACAAACAGTGTATATTGTGGCGTGCAGGTATACAAACACTGTGGCAGGCGTGCAGGTATACAAACACTGTACATTGTGGCGTGCAGGTATACAAACAGTGTATATTGTGGCGCAGGTATACAAACAGTGTACATTGCGGCGTATACAAACACTGTACATTGTGGCGTGCAGGTATACAAACACTGTACATTGGGGTGTGCAGTATACAAACAGTGTATATTGTGGCGTGCAGGTATAGAAACAGTGTACATTGTGGCGTGCAAGTATACAAACAGTGTACATTGTGGCGTGCAAGTATACAAACAGTGTACATTGTGTCGTGCAGGTATACAAACAGTGTACATTGCGGCGTGCAAGTATACAAACAGTGTATATAATAATAATAATAATAATAATTAACGGTTTATTGAAAGAGCTTCGCAGCCAGAAGGCTGAAAATATACAGTTACATATTTGGGGAATGGGTTTCGAATTACAAATAATATACAAGTAACAAAAGTGACACAAATAAGACATATAATAACTAGATGGGGAAAAGCTCAAACTACAGTTCATTTCAAAATAGTGACAGTGCAAGGAGTAGTGTTTACTGGGAGTGAATACACTGGTTTATTACAAGTTATTGATAATTTACAATGGTTGGACTGGGCTATTCTTATAGCGATCAGTTCGTGCACTTATGGGCTGGATGCGGTTGTGGTGTCGAACAGCAATTCTCTGACTAGGATCTCAGGTGGTAGTAGAGCCGGTGTCGAGGATGGTGTGAAGTTTCTTACCAAATTTGCAGATAAGGTCGTGGATGGTCAGTGAGAGTCGAAAGGGTCAGTGTGTTGAGCGCTTCTTGATATGTGGAGTAGGAAGGAGAGAATAATCTTACATGCCCCTTTTGCACTTTTTCTAGGTGTTTACGTTGTGTGGCATTTAGGGAGGAAGACCAGGTGGGGGAGGCATAGGTGAGCTTGGGAAGTATGAATGTTGTGTAAACATTGAGGAGCCTGTGCAGGAACTCCGAGGGACTTGAGTTGGCGGAGGAGGTGGAGACGGAAACTGGAGGATTTGACAACTTCACTGACGTGTGGTTTCCAATTTAGTTTGTTGTCTATGGTGACGCCGAGGAGCATCGTGGAATCTACAACCTGGAGTGTGTTCGGACCTAGAGTAATGGAAGGAGGTGGGACAATGTCGGAGGAGAGGTTGATGTGCATAACCATGGTCTTGGTATGGTTGATGGTGACATGGTTGTTGGTGGCCCAGTTTTGGAGACTGTTCAGTTTGTGGCGTGCAGGTGTACAAACAGTGTATATTGTGGCGTGCAGGTATACAAACAGTGTATATTGTGGCGAGCAGGTATACAAACAGTATACATTGTGGCGTGCAGGTATACAAACAGTGTATATTGTGGCGAGCAGGTATACAAACAGTATACATTGTGGCGTGCAGGTATACAAACAGTATACATTGTGGCGTGCAGGTATACAAACAGTGCTAAACGATAAAATGATTCAACCAAGGAGCGTCCAAGAAAGCAGTTACAACAGTTACCTTAACACACGACTACAGTCACAACAGTTACCTTAACGCACGACTACAGTCACAACAGTTAACTTAACACACGACCACAGTCACAACAGTTACCTTAACACACGACTACAGTCACAACAGTTAACTTAACACACGACCACAGTCACAACAGTTACCTTAACACACGAGCACAGTCACAAGGTTACCTTAACACACGACTACAGTCACAACAGTTACCTTAACACACGAGCACAGTCACAACAGTTACCTTAACACACGAGCAGTCACAACAGTTACCTTAATACACGACCACAGTCACAACAGTTACCTTACCTTAACAAATTAGGGTAGACTGGGGAGTAGATTAAGGTACAATAGGATTGAGTTCCTTGGAGTGGCCTCAACTGCTTCTATTACGTGGTTCACCAACACGGCCAGTCTTATCGCTCATATCTGTGAGATAACACACTGGTATATATAACACACACACACACACACACACACACACACACACACACAAGCACACACACACACACACACACACACACACACACACACACACACACACACACACACACACAGCACACACACACACACACACACACACACACACACACACACACACACACGACGCACACACACACGCACACACACGCACGCACACACACACACACACACACACACACACACGGACACGCACACACACACACACACACACACACACACACGCACGCACACACACACGCACACACACACACGCACGCACACACACACACACACACACACACACACACGCACGCACACACACACGCACACACACACACACACACACACACACACACACACACACACACACACACGCACGCACACACACACGCACACACACACACACACACCCAGTAAATCCTACTTCTTACTGTCACTATGTTGAAATGCCCTGTAGTTTGAGCTTTTCCCCATCTAGTTACTATATATCGTATTTGTATCACTTATGTTACTTGTATATTATTTGTAAATCGAAACCCATTCCCCAAATATGTAACTGTATATTTTCAGCCTTCTGGCTGTAAGGCTCTTTCAATAAACCGTTAATTATTATTATTATTATTATTATTATTATTATTACACGCACACGCACACACACACACACACACACACACACAGGTAAAATGAAAAATCGCCCATTGTGATGCACAGGTGTGGGCTGTGCAAGGGTCATCTAGGAGGGGGAGACTCAGAACGACCGGACACCCGCCTGCTGCACTGGCTACTCAGGCGATACATTGTGCATCTAATGTGTCGATATATACTTCAAATGTCTATCTCTGTGTATATATATCTATCACATGTGTCTATCTATCTATTCATACATCTATAACATGTGTTTATCTATCCATTCATACATCTTAAAACTACGACAGGAGAAATGACTGATGATGAGTTAGAAATGTGTAGTACGTTAAATAGTCATTTTCGCTCCGTATGCACAAATGAAAACCTAGCACAGTTTCCAGAAGTTCATAAGGTATATAACGACAGTATAGAAAATATGTTGATGAATATCAATATTACTAGTAACGATGTGCTTAAAAACATTAACAAACTGAAGCCTCATAAATCGCCTGGTCCAGACGAGGTATATGCTAGAATATTAAAAGAATGTAGAGATGAGTTGAGTAATCCATTAGCAGTTTTATTTAATAAGTCATTAGAATCGGGCCTAGTGCCAGAAGCTTGAAACTTGCAAATGTAGTCCGATTTTCAAAAAAGGTGATAAATCAATTGCATCAAAATACCGTCCCATTAGTCTCACGTCAATCATAGGCAAATTGCTAGAGTCAATTATTGCTACGAAAATCAGAAGCCACCTTGAAACATTCAACTTAATTCATTCTTCTCAGCACGGGTTCACCCAGGGACGTTCTTGTTCACAAATTTGCTTAGCTTTTTCTCAGAAGTATATGAAGCGCTAGATAATGATAAGTCATATGATATAAGTTATTTAGATTTCAGTAAAGCATTCGATAGAGTCCTCATGAGAGATTGATAAGGAAGGTAGAAGCACATGGAATAGGTGGATCATTATTAAAATGGATTAGGTCATGGTTAACTGGTAGGAAACAAAGAGTCAGCATAAATGGATTTAAGTCAGACTGGGGTGCGGTCAAAAGCGGAGTTCCCCAGGATCTGTATTAGGCCCCTGCTGTTTGTTATATTCATTAATGATCTTGATTTAGGTATAACTAGTAGGATTAGTAAATTTGCAGATGATACCAAATGGGGAGTGATAAATTCAGACAGTGACTTTGAACACCTTCAAAGAGATCTAGATACCTTACATGAGTGGTCAGTAGACTGGCAAATGAATTTTAATACTGATAAATGCAAGGTACTAGATAGGGAAGACGAATACAAACGTTAAGTATAAACTAGGTAACACGGAAATAGAAAACTCAGATTGTGAAAAAGATCTAGGTGTATTTGTTAGCAACGACTTGAAACCTAGAAAACAATGTATTAGCGTTCGCAACAAGGCAAACAGGATTCTTGGGTTCATATCTGTGTCTGAGTAACAGAACTGCTGACGTTATCCTGAAACTTTACCTAGCATTAGTGAGGCCACATATGGATTATGCGGTTCAATTCTGGTGTCCTTATTATAGAATGGACATAGATTCTTTGGAGAGAGTACAAAGAAGAATGACAAAAATGATCCATAATATTAGAAACCTTCCATATGAAGAAAGACTGAAAAGCTTAAGCTTGCATTCATTAGAGGCGTAGAGTTAGGGAGATATGATTGAGGTGTTCAAGTGGGTAAGGATTAACAAGGGTAAAATGGAAGATGTTCTGAAGCTCAGTAATAACGAAATAACTAGAACAAATGGCTTTAAATTAGATAAATTCCGATTCAGAAAGGATATAGGCAAGCACTGGTTTGGTAATAGAGTTGTGGATATGTGGAATAGGCGACCGAGTGCTATAGTAGGATCGGGGACGCTAGGGAGCTTCAAGACGAAATTGGATAGGCACATGGAAGTGCTGGGATGGGTGTGAAAGGGATCTGCGCTGTATGGGCCAGTCGGCCTCCTGCAGTATCCCACTTTCTTATGTTCTTACGTTCTTATCTATCACACGTGTCTATCCATCTCTTCATATATCTATCACAAACGATTTTTATTAATAATATTAGAACAACCATCGTATTTACCGTTATCAGGATTACGCCAGGCCACCAATCAGCAGTTTCAGTTACTTTACAGCACCAGAATCTAAGTGTCCTGATTGGTGAGCGAGGCACAGCTGACCTACCAATCAGCATTTTTGCGTTTTCTATTTTATGGTATCAAACTTCTCTGATTGGTTGATTATGAGAATGTGATAGACCGAGTATTAAGCGTTGGTAAGGACTAGTTTTTATCATTATTCCTATATAAATTTTATCCTTCTATGTTACTTTACTATTTCATCGCAATCTTTCTTCTGATCTATTTTCTAGTATTGTTTACAAGGTTTATTGTCGATTCCATTTTATTCACTATACTGGCGATAGGATTATGTTTTTGTGGGTATTTATTTCCTCTACACAAGCGATAGTATTTTGTTTGTTTTATTCACGGAGGTTCATTTCACTTATACAAAGAAGAGTGGTTTGTTGTTGGGTGCTTTATGAAGTGCGTTATCAGTGTGTTATCTCTGTCCCTCTTATCATGGAGAAAATTAGTCAGGCGAGGTTAGTTGAGGGCTGGAGTCACTCACAGGTAAGATACTCTCCACTCTTATTGAATTACCTAAATTTATATGTTTGTAGAACACTTTACTACTTATTAAATTACTTTTATTTGTGTATTTAGAAGACTTTAGCAATAATACTTTCTTCGATATGAGGAATTTTTTTGGTCCAATGTTGACAACCAGGTAGTGATGGAAGGTGTCTAGAATTGTTTTGATGATATAAACTTTAAGCTAATTTGTTATATTTACTGCTAGACATAGATAATTGTTAGTTCATCATAACTACCAAGTGGTTTGATGGTTAACTTGTTTTGTGGGTTTATTTCTATATATTTTAAACCAATAATTGATGGCGAGTGATTAACTTATGATGCAGATCTACAAAACGTCTTCAACACTAAAAGGCTTTGTTTATTAATATTAACATAAATTAGCTTAAAATTAACTTAGAAGTTGTATATAATTTTGTTTCCCGATGACGCCTGACCCATCAAGTGTTGACTGTATAGTGTGAAGCATTAGTCTGTGTTGGTGAGTTTAACTACCAGCTGTACTGTGGTGGTGAGTATAACTACCAGCTGTACTGTGGTGGTGAGTTTAACTACCAGCTGTACTGTGGTGGTGAGTATAACTACCAGCTGTACTGTGGTGGTGAGTTTAACTACCAGCTGTACTGTGGTGGTGAGTATAACTACCAGCTGTACTGTGGTGGTGAGTTTAACTACCAGCTGTACTGTGGTGGTGAGTATAACTACCAGCTGTACTGGGTGGTGAGCTTAACTACCAGCTGTACTGTGGTGGTGAGTAACTACCAGCTGTACTGTGGTGGTGAGTATAACTACCAGCTGTACTGTGGTGGTGAGTTTAACTACCAGCTGTATTGTGGTGGTGAGTATAACTACCAGCTGTACTGAGGTGGTGAGTTTAGCTAATAGCTGTACTGTGGTGGTGAGTATAACTACCAGCTGTACTGTGGTGGTGAGTATAACTACCAGCTGTACTGTGGTGGTGAGTATAACTACCAGCTGTACTGTGGTGGTGAGTTTAACTACCAGCTGTACTGTGGTGGTGAGTTTAGCTAATAGCTGTACTGTGGTGGTGAGTATAACTACCAGCTGTACTGTGGTGGTGAGTTTAACTACCAGCTGTACTGTGTTGGTGAGTTTAGCTAATAGCTGTACTGTGGTGGTGAGTATAACTACCAGCTGTACTGTGGTGGTGAGTTTAACTACCAGCTGTACTGTGGTGGTGAGTTTAGCTAATAGCTGTACTGTGGTGGTGAGTATAACTACCAGCTGTACTGTGGTGGTGAGTTTAACTACCAGCTGTACTGTGTTGGTGAGTTTAGCTAATAGCTGTACTGTGGTGGTGAGTATAACTACCAGCTGTACTGTGGTGGTGAGTTTAACTACCAGCTGTACTGTGGTGGTGAGTTTAGCTAATAGTTGTACTGTGGTGGTGAGTATAACTACCAGCTGTACTGTGGTGGTGAGTTTAACTACCAGCTGTACTGTGGTGGTGAGTTTAGCTAATAGCTGTACTGTGGTGGTGAGTATAACTACCAGCTGTACTGTGGTGGTGAGTTTAACTACCAGCTGTACTGTGGTGGGTAGTATAACTACCAGCTGTACTGTGGTGGTGAGGATTTAACTACCAGCTGTACTGTGGTGGTGAGTTTAGCTAATAGCTGTACTGTGGTGGTGAGTATAACTACCAGCTGTACTGTGTGGTGGTGAGTATAACTACCAGCTGTACTGTGGTGGTGAGTATAACTACCAGCTGTACTGTGGTGGTGAGTTTAACTACCTGCTGTACTGTGGTGGTGAGTTTAGCTAATAGCTGTACTGTGGTGGTGAGTATAACTACCAGCTGTACTGTGGTGGTGAGTTTAACTACCAGCTGTACTGTGGTGGTGAGTTTAGCTACCAGCTGTACTGTGGTGGTGAGTTTAACTACCAGCTGTACTGTGGTGGTGAGTTTAGCTAACAGCTGTACTGTGGTGGTGAGTTTAACTACCAGCTGTACTGTGGTGGTGAGAGTATAACTACCAGCTGTACTGTGGCGGTGAGTTTAACTACCAGCTGTACTGTGGTGGTGAGTTTAACTACCAGCTGTACTGTGGTGGTGAGTTTAACTACCAGCTGTACTGTGGTGGTGAGTTTAACTACCAGCTGTACTGTGGTGGTGGGTTTTGGCTAACAGCTGTACCGTGGTGGTGGGTGCTACCAGCTGCACTGTGGTGGTCACAGCTGTATGGATTCTAAGGACAGGATGCAAACAGTGTATACACCTGGCCGCCACATCCTAACACCCAGAAATTTTATTGTGTTCTGAGTCTGAATTCTCAAGCAACTAGTACTTTAGTTGTCCCTTAACCACATTAACTGCTATATTTGTGTGTTAGTTCAAGTGAGGCAGTAGGAGCTGGGTACCGCACATTCAGCTGAAGTAAACATTTATCAAGTGATCGTCAAAAGCTGAAAACTTCTTCAGTATATTATCACATATGATCCAGACATGATATTCATTTGTGAAAATTAACAAAATTCAAAGTTAACGTTTCGGGAGATTTCTATTACTTACCAAGACCACAATTTAGTTGACTACAACTGTGTACCTTAACACAAGTTAGTTTACTACAGCAGTACAACAGTGTACCTTAACACAGGTTAGTTTACTACGACAGTACAACAGTGTACCTTAACACAGGTTAGTTTACTACAACAGTGTACCTTAACACATGTTAGTTTATTACAACAGTGTACCTTAACACAGGTTAGTTTACTACAGCAGTACAACAGTGTACCTTAACACAGGTTAGTTTACTACGACAGTACAACAATGTATCCTAACACAGATTAGTTTACTACAAACGTGTACCTTAACACAGGTTAGTTTACTACGACAGTACAACAATGTACCTTAACACAGGTTAGTTTACTACAGCAGTACAGCAGTGTACCTTAACACATGTTAGTTTACTACAACAGTTCAACAGTGTACCTTAACACAGGTTAGTTTACTACAAACGTGTACCTTAACACAGGTTAGTTTACTACAGCAGTACCACAGCGTACCTTAACACAGGTTAGTTTACTACAGCAGTACAACAGTGTACCTTAACACATGTTAGTTTACTACAACAGTACAACAGTGTACCTTAACACAGGTTAGTTTACTACAACAGTGTACCTTAACACATGTTAGTTTACTACAACAGTACAACAGTGTACCTTAACACAGGTTAGTTTACTACAACAGTGTACCTTAACACAGGTTAATTTACTACAACAGTGTACCTTATCACATGTTAGTTTACTACTACAGTGTACCTTAACACAGGTTAGTTTACTGCAGCAGTACAACAATGTACCTTAACACATGTTAGTTTACTACAACAGTACAACAGTGTACCTTAACACAGGTTAGTTTACTACAACAGTGTACCTTAACACATGTTAGTTTACTACAACAGTGTACCTTAACACAGGTTAGTTTACTACAGCACTAGTACAGCAGTACAACAGTGTACCTTAACACAGGTTAGTTTACTACAACAGTACAACAGTGTACCTTAACACATGTTAGTTTACTACAACAGTACAACAGTGTACCTTAACACATGTTAGTTTACTACAACAGTACAACAGTGTACCTTAACATAGGTTAGTTTATTACAACAGTACAACAGTGTACCTTAACACATGTTAGTTTACTACAACAGTGTACCTTAACACAGGTTAGTTTACTACAACAGTGTACCTTAACACAGGTTAGTTTACTACAGCAGTACAACAGTGTACCTAACACAGGTTAGTTTACTACAGCAGTTCAACAGTGTACCTTAACACATGTTAGTTTACTAAAACAGTGTACCTTAACACAGGTTAGTTTACTACAACAGTACAACAGCGTACCTTAACACATGTTAGTTTACTACAACAGTACAACAGTGTACCTTAACATAGGTTAGTTTACTACAACAGTACAACAGTGTACCTTAACACATGCTAGTTTACTACAACAGTGTACCTTAACACAGGTTAGTTTACTACAACAGTACAACAGCGTACCTTAACACAGGTTAGTTTACTACAGCAGTACCACAGCGTACCTTAACACAGGTTAGTTTACTACAGCAGTACAACAGTGTACCTTAACACATGTTAGTTTACTGCAACAGTACAACAGTGTGCCTTAACACATGTTAGTTTACTACAATAGTATACCTTAACACATGTTAGTTTACTACAACAGTGTACCTTAACACAGGTTAGTTTACTACAACAGCGTACCTTAACACAGGTTAGTTTACTACAACAGTGTACCTTAACACATGTTAGTTTACTGCAACAGTACAACAGTGTGCCTTAACACAGGTTAGTTTACTACAATAGTATACCTTAACACATGTTAGTTTACTACAACAGTGTACATTAACACAGGTTAGTTTACTACAACAGTGTACCTTAACACAGGTTAGTTTCTACAACAGTGTACCTTAACACAGGTTAGTTTACTACAACAGTGTGCCTTAACACAGGTTAGTTTACTACAGCAGTACCACAGTGCCTTAACACAGGTTAGTTTACTACAGCAGTACAACAGTGTACCTTAACACATGTTAGTTTACTGCAACAGTACAACAGTGTGCCTTAACACATGTTAGTTTACTACAATAGTATACCTTAACACATGTTAGTTTACTACAACAGTGTACCTTAACACAGGTTAGTTTACTACAACAGCGTACCTTAACACAGGTTAGTTTACTACAACAGTGTACCTTAACACATGTTAGTTTACTGCAACAGTACAACAGTGTGCCTTAACACAGGTTAGTTTACTACAATAGTATACCTTAACACATGTTAGTTTACTACAACAGTGTACCTTAACACAGGTTAGTTTACTACAACAGTGTACCTTAACACAGGTTAGTTTACTACAACAGTGTACCTTAACACAGGTTAGTTTACTACAACAGTGCTAACACAGGTTAGTTTACTACAACAGTGTACCTTAACACAGGTTAGTTTACTACAACAGTGTACCTTAACACAGGTTAGTTTACTACAACAGTACAAAAGTGTACCATAACACAATGTTAGTTTACTTCACCAGTATACCTTAACACAGGTTAGTTTACTACAGCAGTGTACCTTAACACAGGTTAGTTTACTACAACAGTGTACCTTAACACAGGTTAGTTAACTACAACAGTGTACCTTAACACAGGTTGTTTACTACAACAGTGTACCTTAACACATGTTAGTTTACTACAACAGTGTACCTTAACACAGGTTAGTTTACTACAACGTTATGCCTTAACACAGGTTAGTTTACTACAACAGTGTACCTTAACACAGGTTAGTTTACTACAACAGTGTACCTTAACACAGGTTAGTTTACTACAACAGTGTACCTTAACACAGGTTAGTTTACTACAACAGTGTACCTTAACACAGGTTAGTTTACTACAACAGTGTACCTTAACACAGGTTAGTTTACTACAACAGTGTACCTTAACACAGGTTAGTTTACTACAACAGTGTACCTTAACACAGTTTAGTTTACTACAGCAGTACAAAAGTGTACCATAACACAGGTTAGTTTACTTCAACAGTATACCTTAACACATTTATTTACCTTGCATTAAATCATCTACCGTATATTACTTACCTGATCTATTAAAAAAATATTAGCAGTAAAGCCTTTGTCAACTTCGCCTACATTATGAAATTTGATATAATTCTAAACTTTTTGGTCTGGATGTCAGCCGCTCTCTTGTTATTAATTGTAGCTGATTAGCTGACCGAGTAGAGACGTCATCACAGGATAATCGAGTAGTGACATCATTTGATTTTCACAGAAGATAAAGATGGCACCAAAGTGTAAGGTATGTAGCGACTCGTTCGCCCCCGGGAACAAGGAGCCTCTCTCTCTCAAGTGCGGCCACAGCTTCTGCCGAGAGTGTCTCAATAAGATCAAGGCCACGACAGGTTCTCTCAAGTGCCCAACTTGTCGTGTAATCAACGACACCTCGGATGTAAGCAAGTTGACAGTGAACTACGACCTCATGACAGCCAGCGTGTCCAGCTGTTCTACTACAATCCCTGGTGGCAATTTTACACCCATGGGTTCAGCTCCTCCTTCCAAGGTATGTCTGTTAGGCTGGCAACACTAACTTTCAGATCATGAGATTTTAGCCCAACACATTATTTAGGTAAAGAAGTTTCAATCTCGGATTTTTTCGTCGAAAGTATTTCAGCATCAGAAGATATAACTAAATGGCGAGTCCATACGACCCACCTGGGGAGAGTCTGGTGAGGTATAGTGACGAGACACAAAAGGAAGGTTAGCCATCACGACATCTGATGATATCAATCTATTTCTCCTTTCACCTTCACCGAGTATTAGTTACATTAAAACTGACCTACTTTTGTACTATACTACTGTAATGGTCTATTGCTGTACTATACTACTGTAATGGTCTGTTGCTGTACAGTACTACTGTAATGGTCTGTTGCTGTACTATACTACTGTAATGGTCTATTGCTGTACTATACTACTGTAATGGTCTGTTGCTGTACAGTACTATACTACTGTAATGGTGTATTGCTGTACTATACTACTGTAATGGTCTGTTGCTGTACAGTACTATACTACTGTAATGGTCTATTGCTGTACTATACTACTGTAATGGTCTATTGCTGTACTATACTACTGTAATGGTCTGTTGCTGTACTATACTACTGTAATGGTCTATTGCTGTACTATACTACTGTAATGGTCTATTGCTGTACTATACTACTGTAATGGTCTGTTGCTGTACTATACTACTGTAATGGTCTATTGCTGTACTATACTACTGTAATGGTCTATTGCTGTACTATACTACTGTAATGGTCTGTTGCTGTACTATACTACTGTAATGGTCTATTGCTGTACTATACTACTGTAATGGTCTATTGCGGCTATACTACTGTAATGGTCTGTTGCTGTACTATACTACTGTAATGGTCTATTGCTGTACAGTACTATACTACTGTAATGGTCTATTGCTGTACTATACTACTGTAATGGTCTGTTGCTGACTATACTACTGTAATGGTCTGTTGCTGTACTATACTACTGTAATGGTCTATTGCTGTACTATACTACTGTAATGGTCTATTGCTGTACTATACTACTGTAATGGTCTATTGCTGTACTATACTACTGTAATGGTCTATTGCTGTACTATACTACTGTAATGGTCTGTTGCTGTACTATACTACTGTAATGGTCTATTGCTGTACAGTACTATACTACTGTAATGGTCTATTGCTGTACTATACTACTGTAATGGTCTATTGCTGTACTATACTACTGTAATGGTCTATTGCTGTACTATACTACTGTAATGGTCTGTTGCTGTACTATACTACTGTAATGGTCTATTGCGTACTATACTACTGTAATGGTCTATTGCTGTACTATACTACTGTAATGGTCTATTGCTGTACTATACTACTGTAATGGTCTATTGCTGTACTATACTACTGTAATGGTCTATTGTGTACTATACTACTGTAATGGTCTGTTGCTGTACAGTACTATACTGTAATGGTCTATTGCTGACTATACTACTGTAATGGTCTATTGCTGTACTATACTACTGTAATGGTCTGTTGCTGTACTATACTACTGTAATGGTCTATTGCTGTACTATACTACTGTAATGGTCTATTGCTGTACAGTACTATACTACTGTAATGGTCTATTGCTGTACTATACTACTGTAATGGTCTATTGCTGTACAGTACTATACTACTGTAATGGTCTATTGCTGTACTATACTACTGTAATGGTCTGTTGCTGTACTATACTACTGTAATGGTCTATTGCTGTACAGTACTATACTACTGTAATGGTCTGTTTGCTGTATATACTACTGTAATGGTCTGTTGCTGTACTATACTACTGTAATGGTCTATTGCTGTACAGTACTATACTACTGTAATGGTCTTTTGCTGTACTATACTACTGTAATGGTCTGCTGTACTATACTACTGTAATGGTCTATTGCTGTACTATACTACTGTAATGGTCTATTGCTTACTATACTACTGTAATGGTCTGTTGCTGTACTATACTACTGTAATGGTCTGTTGCTGTACTATACTACTGTAATGGTCTGTTGCTGTACTATACTATGTAATGGTCTATTGCTGTACTATACTACTAATGGTCTATTGCTGTACTATACTACTGTAATGGTCTATTGCTGTACTATACTACTGTAATGGTCTATTGCTGTACTATACTACTGTAATGGTCTATTGCTGTACTATACTACTGTAATGGTCTGTTGCTGTACTATACTACTGTAATGGTCTATTGCTGTACTATACTACTGTAATGGTCTGTTGCTGTACTATATACTACTGTAATGGTCTATTGCTGTACTTACTATACTACTGTAATGGTCTATTGCTGTACTATACTACTGTAATGGTCTGTTGCTGTACTATACTACTGTAATGGTCTGTTGCTGTACTATACTACTGTAATGGTCTGTTGCTGTACTATACTACTGTAATGGTCTATTGCTGTACTATACTACTGTAATGGTCTATTGCTGTACTATACTACTGTAATGGTCTGTTGCTGTACTATCTACTGTAATGGTTCTTACTATGCTACTAAATGGTCTATTGCTGTACTATACTACTGAATGGTCTGTTGCATTGAGTAATGGTCTGTTGCTGAACTATACTACTGTAATAGTTGTTGTACTATACTACTGTAATGGTCTCTTATTGTACTAAACTTTGCATATCCACTGTTGTAGTAACTATACTGAGTAAAGCAATGTAAGTGCTTTTTTTCTGCTGAGTACAGCCTGCCCTTCCTCGTTAAATTTGAATCCGATTTTGTTTGAAAATTTGACTGATTATTTTAACCACACCTTCGTTATTCAATCGGGAGCAAAATAGGTTCAGGTATATGAATTAAATCTGATTTATTTGATGATACTAAAACAAATTACAACTCGGTAATATTACCTTATGCAAAAACTAACATTTTAAAAGATCATAATCACATTGAAATACCATATGGACGTCAACAGAGGCGGGAAATATGACTGCGAACAACTTCATATTTTTCCCGCCATTGCTAACGGTCGTGTAATATTTCAATGTGATTCTGATCTTTAAAAATGTTGTTTTTGCATAATGTAGTATTACTGATACGTAATTTGTCTTAGTATGCCTTATTGTGGGTAAAAATAAGTATATATTAAATGCATCCTCCGAAAGCGTGAATTTGCTACCAGAGTTTAACAGTTAATTCATGTATAATACTTCTGATAAACTTCCTACGGACTTCTATATTTGAAATAACGAATGTATGTATCTTTATATAATTTAGCTAAATATCTTTCTCGTGAGAAACGGTCATCAGAACGATTATGAATAAACTCATTTAGAAATACATCATTAGTTCAGGACAAAATCGGACAGGTTTTCAACAGCCAATCAGCTGTAACTCTTGGGGAGGGGGCGGGGGAGCTTTTCTCAGCTGAGAAAAAGACGCACTGTAGTCACTTCAGCTGGTCTAGGTAATACAATTACAGTATTGATGTAGCATAACACAAGGAATTTCCCATAGGGCGCCATATCTGTCGTAGTAAAGGACCTCACCGACCAGCAGTTCCGCCTCCCAATCCAGCCCACGAGTACCATCAAAGACCTGAAGAAGGTTTTGCAGGCGCAGTATGGCATTGCCCCAGAGAACACTCGCCTCCTGTTCCGTGGCCGCCGCCTGGAGGACAACAAGACGCTCAACGACTACTGCATCACGACTGGCAACATCATCCAGATGTCGACCAGATATGTGGGAGGAGATGTTTGCAGGAGACGTTAGGCCGCCTTCCCTCCAACCACTCATATTGACACTTGACACACTACACCCACTACATTGACCCGGGTTCTCAAAGATTCGTTCGTTTAATTTCTCACCCACTAGCTGGAAATAACAAAATGCATACATTTACGGTTGAGTCCCAGTGAATTTTCGACGCCGTTTTGGCCCCCATCATTTTACTATATCTTAATTGTGCCATTGAACAAAAACTTACATTTTCTGTATTGAGAAATATTTAACGTACGAAACTCAGAATTCTCGGTCAGAATCATTGCCTTTCAGACCAGCACATGATGGCTCGGTTACACACCAGGCGATACATAACATTCATTATTAAACAACATTTAGTTAACTCTTTATATTCTACTCTCGAAACAATGTTATATCATTATTGGACAAAGTGAATGTGTCTTAGTATTGAGTGGAGGTATATAATGTAAGCTAGTTTATACTGATGTTCGAGGGTCACGTTGTTCTGTTCACCTCACGTTCTTCACACCTGATAATTTCTCTCTAATTGGCCCTGATTGAACCCGCGTAAATTGTACTTTTAACAGCCACCATTTTTGTGTCGAGGTATACAGGAACTGACAAGGAGTTACCAGACGTCAGTTGTAAGCTGGGTGAGCTGTGTCATAGTGTTCTGGTTGATCCCTCGGCGTTTACTGAACACTGAAACAATGGTGTAAGGCTGACTCTTATGTAATCCTCAGGTCATATACCAGAGAAGACAAATTCTAAGGAAGGCATAACTGCTGTGGTTAGTCTTACGTAGATACACCAACCTGACGTCTAGTTCAGGTCACACATATGTAACACTGTGTTGTGGTAACACGCAAGTTACAATAACTAACAAAATGAAACAACATTGGTCTAATGATCATCACTACCTAACCTTGAGGACCAGCACTAGATGATAAATCATTATATGTATATATATATATATATATATATATATATATATATATATATATATATATATATATATATATATATATATATATATATATAAAATGATTTATCATCGAGTGCTGGTCCTCAAGGTGGTAATGATGATCATTAGACCAATGTTGTTGAAATTATTTGTCTTGTATGAAACTATTGTTGAGACTCTCTCTCCTAGGCCCCATAACCAACACCTGTTACACTTGTGATTTTAATATAATTTTAATAAACTCACATACAAAAGCTGTTTTCTTATACCGCCTCCTAAAAACTTAATTTAAAAAGAAATAAAAGTTGACTTACAATAATAGACAGAACATTCTTGTGACAGTAACCGTCTGATGAGTGAGTGTGTGTGCGTGTGTGTGCAGTGTGTGTGTGTGAACACACTGGGTGGTGTAACGCGTGTATTAGCCTGTCATATTAATATTATATAAATATGGGCTAAGGACATATATTCATTATATACATTCTATCACTCAGACTATTGAGCACACAGCTACACAAGCATTTGTTCTGTCACACCTCCTCGGGTGGATAGCCCATAAACATTTGTTCTGTCACACCTCCTCGGGTGGATAGCCCATAAACATTTGTTCTGTCACACCTCCTCGGATGGATAGCCCATAAACATTTGCTCTTTCACACCTTCTCGGGTGTACAGCCCATAAATCTACAGATTCAACTCTCAGTGTGTGAGTAGGCCTGTTTAGATAATGTCTGTGGAAGGATCGGTTACTCTCCAATCACCAGACTCAAGAGAGGACAGCCAGTTCCCGCAGTTCACAGCCCGACATGATACTGTAAAGTCGTGTCGTGAGACCAGCTCTCCAGGCTGTACCTCTCTCTAATTATATCAGCTAATTACAAGCTAATAGCTAATGCTCATTAGTCTGTCAATGCCAAATAATTGTACAGACATGACTACCCAATATAACTAGAAAATCACCAGGTGCATTTACATTAAACCAAGGAACGACAAGTAAAGAGAACAGTACCTGTGTGTCTTGTTTAACTTACAAGCTAAGATAATTACCAGTACAACCCAGGACAGCTGTGACGATTTCAACTATCAACCAATCTACGACTGTATCAAAGGTGACAAGCCGTGAGATTACCTGATATATCACTCAGTTGCATCAAAGGTACCAGCGACTAACCTACACTCGTTCAGGCAAGTGTTAACAAGCAAGATAGTTTGGTATCATACCACAGCTAAAACACGCGGCTACTATGACAGCATTATGTTAGCGTTAAGGTGCAAGCACTGCTTGCTTCCTCTCGCTTTCAGCTACCGCCGCTGGCTAGCCCTCGTGGCAAACAGGGAAGCAGCTTGCACAAGTCTTCCCCTGCCAGTACACAGCCTCTTCACCATCAAGACTCCTGCTGTGCCTCCTCGTGGCAACACACGGTAACTGGGTGCCTTGTGGGCCCAGGCTAAACCAGCAGGGGATCTCGGAGTAGCAGTGGGCCCCAGAGGGAAGGCTCATAGACCCACTGGCATGTATACACGTCCTGGCGCCTACCAACCATTGCCTCGCTGCCTTGTGGATAAACCTTGGTAGATCTAAGGCTACGGGAATAAACCATGAACGAAAAATATGTGGTGGAGCCCCGAATAAGGCAGACATGCTTACAGAGCTCCAACAAGACCCCAACGGCGGTATAGGCAGAAGAGGTGCCCACAATGGAAACCCAATGACTACACCGGCGAAGGAAGGCAATGCATGATGGACAAGCTACTAAGGCGAAACCCAGGAAACTGGGCTATCGGCAGTTAATTTCAAATCTCCCTCTCCCCAGTCGTTGCAACACTTGCACCACTGTATAATGAAAAGGGAGAGTCAAGATGTGTGGTTGCAGCCTGTGCTCCTGCCTCACCACATAAATCAACTTGCGTGCAGCCATCATCCAGCTCATCATACCTCTCATCATCATCAAAACCATGGGCAGCACAGATAAGGTGGTCGTTTATGCACTGGGATGTAGGCAGCGGTGCAATCCGGTCCTGCCTGTGCGACTGAGCAGCCTTTTCGAGGAGTTACTCTGCTCACCCCACATGGGGAGGGGGCTAGAAAAAGTCCCCTAAGCATAGCCTGCCTAAAGAACCAGCCTGACTGAGTAACCACACCCAGTAAGGTCATCCTTTTGTGGTCGAAAATACAATAATAATTACAAATCAAAACAAAAGCAAACTATACAACTTCTTGTGGTCGCTGTATGGAATGTCAGGACCCTTCTGGATACTGGCACAAATGAGCATCCTGAAAGAAGAACCGCCCTTGTGGCAAAAGAGCTGGCTAGGTATAACCTCGACATAACAGCCATTAGGGAGTCCCTGCTCCCAGACGAAGGTCAACTCACAGAACGGGGGTCTGGATATACCTTCTGAAAGGGTAAGGGTAAGCCTGCTGCAGAGAAAAAACCACATTTATGGAGTTGGCTTTGCCATCCACTAACGCTAACTGAAATGCGCTATTGGGATCAACGAGCAGCTCATGACTCTTCGAGTCCCACTGAATCACTCACGTCTTGCCTCCTTCACCAGAGCATATGCCCGAACACTGGTTGCAGAGGATATCATCACGGAGGCCTTTTACCCCGACAGAGTGCTAACCTCTACCCCAGAGAAGATAAGGTTGTGGTCCCTGGTGACTTCAATGCCAGAGTTGGCAAAGATGCTGACATTTAGCAGAGAATCATAGGGAAAATGGGCTAAGCAAGTGTAATCCCAACGACCTACTCCTCCTCAGCAAGTGTGCTGCACACTACCTCACTATCACTAATACCCCAGGCTGACCTAGCTTGGAGAAGGACGTGCCCCTAAGTGCTCGTGTTAGTGAGCATAGGAAATGGCCGCTGTGGATCGTTATCTTGTGGGGGAAGAGGGACGGCGTGTGAGGAAAGATGACCCCCTGGCCACTCTGTTAAGTCAGCTAGAGCAGTTGAGGAGAGAGATAGACGTTTTAAAGGGGGAGAACGAAGCCCTCAGGGCTGAACTCCTTCAGGTAGGACACCTGCGTAGGAGGGTCAGGAGGAGCAGGCGTGGAGAGTGGTTGTCTCCAAGGGGATGAGGGTCAGACTCAGGAAAGCTGACCAGGGTGTGGAGTGCAGTAACCCCTACCAAGTGTTGGAGGAAGCTGGCGAGGAAGAGAAGAGGCAGGACGGTGTGGTGCCAGGAGATAAAAGGGCAGTTGTTCAAACCTTGCCCAGTGGTAAGGTCGTGGTAGTTGGGGACAGCCAGGTGAGGTTCTTAGATAGGAATTTTTGTGCAAGAGATAGGAAACTAAGGACTAGGGTGTGTTTTCCTGGGGCAGGATAGGGCATGTAGCTGAAAGGATGGATAGGGTTTTGACAGGGGAGGTTTACCAAGCCAGTAGTGTGTCTCAGTGTTAGAAGTAACGACATAGGTAAGGTTAGGAGTGAGGAACTTTTCAAGAGGTATAGGGAGGTGCTAGGGAAGGTTAGAGATAGGGGAGGGATCCCGATAGTTTGTGGTGTCTTGCCTATAAGAGGAGTTGGCGGTGAATGGCTGTCCAGGGCAATTGCTATAAATTGCTGACTGGAAAAACATTGTGCAAGCAATGGCTGGGCGTTCATTGATAACTGGCAACCATTCTATGGCAACGACTACCTATACAGTCGTGACGGAGTACACTTGTCTCGCGCGGGGGTAAAGATGTTGTCTGCATCCCTGGAGATTGAACTTGTCACTTCAAAGGGTGGGTTTCGCCAGTCGAGAGAAGTCAGGGTAAGTGGGAGTAAAAAATCAAGTAAAATTGGGTACTCAGGACAAGGGGTAAAACAGGACCAGGGAAGGGTAGGTTTAAATGTATACTATACAAACAGTATGAGCGCTAGAAATAAAATAGACTTGGTGAGAGCGGTTGTACAGTATGTAACGAGAGTGTTGACGTCATAGCAATCACCGAAACTTGGATGAATTTGGCACGCAAGAACTTTTTATCAGAGTATCACATAGAAGGGTACAACCTTTTTCACAAGGACAGGGAAGGTAGGAAGGGGGGAGAGATCGCACTCTTCGCCAGGATACTTTAAAATGTTGTATTAATAATTAAATAAGGGGTGAAATAGGAACCGAGTCTGTATGAGTAGAAATTGCAGAAGGAAGAGAAAAACTAATTATGGGAGTGCTTTACAGGCCCCCAAGTCTTGGGAAAGAAGCAGCTCAGCCCATATGGCAGAAAATGAGTAGGGCAGCAAAATATAACAACCTATGCATTATGGGGGATTTCAACTTCAGAAATATTGACTGGGACAACATTATTGGTGACTATGAATCTGAAGACTTCCCAGATGCAGTACAGGATAATTTTTTAAAACGACAAATTACAGAACCTACTAGAGGTGATAATATATTAGAATTAATATTAACAAATACAGAAAATATTATCAGAGATATCACAATAGGGGAAGAACTAGGGAACAATGATCACAGAGAAATCAGGTTCACCCTAAATTGGGAAACGAAAAACAATGACAATATGGTCAGAGTCCCAGACTTTCGATCAGCGGATTATGAGGGGGTTAAGAAGGGTAGGTAGTCGGCAGCCAGCAAACAGGGAGGTACTACCGCCTGGGAAGATATTGGAAGCATAATGTGTTGTCTAATGGTAGACCCTGCTGCCATATGGCATCACGAAATTGTGATCAAGTCCCAGGCTGCTAATCTGTCATTCTGCCTCATTTACACACAATTTAGGATCTCAATTGTTTCTCTTACATGACAACACAACATACAGTACATATAGCGTTTCTCACTATCGATTTTTTTTTCATTCTTGTATTTCTTTGTATTAATTATTATTATTATCATCATCATAGTGTTATCATTATTATTACCATTAACATTTTATTTTACTTTTTAATATAAATTTTATTTACTATGAATTATTATTATTATTACATTTTCGCCCCCCGGGCCCTGATGTGGGTCAGTGACCTGTGCCCGGGTGGGATGAGG